GTCTTATGATTTAAATGTACTTGTGCCCATTTAACAATTGTGAATGTTCAGGGAAGGCATTTTATGCACACTGTAGAAAATCTAGGATTTGTACTCAGATGTTACTTCCCATCATAATATTTCTGGACTTAAAAATTCCTATATTCATTCATCTTTGTGGATTTTCAGATGCATGCTAAAATCAAGCTGTAGTTACTTAACAGAAAATAAGCTGGAAATTAAACCACTTTGCCAATTTCCATCTCCTAGTCATGTCCTATCATCCATACATGAGTCCAACAAACTTTTATTTTATGTCTACCGTGGAACTGTGCAATCACCAATCTAAGTACACACAGGCCTTGTTTTGTTCATTCTAAGACACAGATTCTTTTCACGTTTTAACACGAAGGATGTGTCCCCCTGGAGGCAAGGCACCACACGTGTGATGGACGGCACATCTCGCAATCAAGGGGTGTCTTACATCAGGTAAGATGTGGTACCAGAGACAGACCCTGCTCTCAAGCAGCTTACAGACCTGCAACCACCCTGCTGGCAGCCACATCTCCTTCTCTGCGGGAGGAAACCCAAGGTTTGGCTTGGAAAGTCCGAGCCTACTTTTTGCGAGTAATCAAACATTCCGAGTAAAACTTTGCACCTCCAAACAGTAGCCCAGCCAAGACACCTTGAAAGCAGAGTGAGGCAGAGTGAGAACAAATTAGTGAAGATCCAGGAACCGCCAAGAATGTTTCTTCTAGGAAATACTCCCAAATGCTAACAGTGACAGCCTTTTTTTTTTTCTTTCCTCTTTGACTCAGTCTAGCATTGCAATGTACAGTTTTACTCTTTATGATGAAACATATAAATGAAAAAAAAAATGTTAAGAAGGCAAGAGAAATTTCTAGGGGGGCCAAGAAATCTTTTTCCACAGCCAGAAAATACTGGACTAACAAAGGAACCACCTGAATTCTCAGAAAAGAAGCCAGTACAAGAGGAAGCTGTGAACTGTCTCAGCAGAAGTATACGATTCTGCCCGTTTCTACCAGAAAAGCTTAAAGGTATTTACGGATCCAGAAGCTCAAGAGAGTGGCCGGTGGGGGGCGGGGGGGTGGCCCTAGCCCCACAGCCATCATAAATCAGACCCTCCCATCCCCTGGGATAAGCTGAGCTGAAGGAAAGATGGTTATGGGCGCTGAGTTGTTAACAGCAGGATTACTAAGTGTGGCGGCTCGCAAATAATATATTGACCCCGTCCAAGAGAAAACAGCGGCACCCTGTTGTCACGGAGCAGGAAAAGCAGACGGAGAGCAAGAGAGCAAGCGGCGGGGGCCAGGCGTCCTGAATGGAGCCCAGCAGGCGCCCAGGCCGCCTAGCTGAATTCAGAACCTCTTCCCCGGCTAACTTTGGGCCGCCACACATCTGGGGCTTGATCCAGGCTGATCCAGCTGCATTCCTGAGCATCAGCCCACAGGTGTTTCTACTGAGGCTTTTCCCTGCCAGTGGGGGGCGGGAAAAAAATGTACTCTCCACTGCGGAGGTACAGTGCGGGGCTGGAGAGAACCAAGGGGCAGGCAGAGCTGCCAGAGAGCTACGATCGCACCTCCCGGGGAGGCGGTAATGGGCCGGGTAAGGAGTCTGAGGATGACCGCTGGCAGGAGAGGTCTCGGGAGTGCTGACCCCGAAGGAATGGATCCCTTGTTTCCCGAGCTCCCAAAGAGCCTTCCAACAAGCTGATGTCTTCCCACCGGGGATGTCAAGGCCGCTTAATGCAAAGTTTGATCCCTCGAGTGGGGAGTAAAGCATTCTTTTTCTTCTCGGCTGTGTATCAGCTTGCCTCGCTGCATTTCTTTGTCTCCTAACTGAATCCCATCAGCGTGGCTGACTGCCTCCCTCACTGGAAATGAGCTGAGCTAGGAAACACGTTTCTCAACAAGGCCACATTCTCCAGGGTGCTGAGAAGGGCAGAGCTGAACTCAGCCCCTGCAGAGAGAGAGAGAGAAAACAAAACAAGTCCTCTCTATTGCCTTATGAGAACACAATACACAGACACACACACACACACACACCCCCATAAAAGTCTCTCCTGCATCCAGATAGGGAAGTCTGGCGTCCAGCCCCGAGGCTGTTCATCTTAAGTGGGAAAGGCAGCGTGTCAGAAAAAGAACACCAGGGGAGCAGGTCAGATTCCTTCCTTGTGAAATAAGTGGACTTGATAGGATGACCCAGAGGACCCAGGAGAACGCCAAAGTTCTAGGCACTCAAGAAGGAAACCATCTCTGGGCCAAAGGAACACAGACCCAAACTGCTTATCAGTCTGCCCAAGCACGGACTGGCTATTAAAATAAGACACACTCCTGGAGCCCGCACACTGCAGGGAGCAGGTGGCCAGCCAACCCAGCAGGGACCCACTGGGCACCCACTGCGGCATGGGGAGGATTCATCTCCCCAGGTGGGTTACCCCAGCCCCCTGCAGACCCTTGCCCTTCACTCAAAGGCCAGCTTTCACATTCACATTCTTTCCCAAGGTTTGCCTCTTCAGCCCATGCCTAGGGAATGACTCTAGATTAACAAACTGCCACAAAGCCCCTCATCAAACTCAGGTTGGTGAGTTCCAGGGAATCAGAGCGGGAAGACAAATGATTCTCTTCCCAAAGCGCCAGAACATCCTTTGCCCTGCATCGCCAACAGCACCCCTTTCAGGCGGCGAGTTAGAAGACTCCACGATTCTCTAGGAAACGACGGTTTCATGTCTGGTCGGGGTTAAAAATGATTTTTTTTTAAATTAAATCTTCAGCTATGCTAGGTCCATATTTGGGGACATGGAATCTAGCACAGAGCTCTGAGCTCAAGAAATGCTGAATGACTGACTGGACGCATGAATCAGTGACTGGACACCGCCTCCTTCACACACTGGGTCCCAGGAGATGGGATCCCCGCATCAAGCATCCGCTCATACACCACCTTTCAGAGATGGCTCTAGTGGGATTCCCTGGATTTGCTGAAGCATCAGGGAGTCAACTTCTCAGAGTGTGGTGATTTACACTATCGAAAGGGAGTCGGTGAAATCTAAAAGTGGCCTCTGAGTATTACCCAACCCCTCTGCCCCATCCCCACCCTGGTCCCCACCCCCTTCCCACTCCCACACACCCCCCACCCACCCCCGCACAAGGAAGGATGCTTTGGGATGACGGCCGAATGCAAGCTGATTCTTCCTGCCCCTCCCCCGCTCCCCTTTGCGGCAAAAGGTTTCTGGTGAGGACTTCTGAGAGATTTTATTTATGGCCTTTTACTCAATGCCCAAATGCCTCTTTGGGAAAGACTCTTGCGCCATCTGTGGAAGGAAAGCTTGTCACGCCGTCAGGTTAGGGCCATGCAGACCCGCCAGCCTCGCTGGTCCCTGGGGTCCCCTTGATGGAGCAAGAATGTGAGCCTCAGGAAGCTCCAGTTGGACAGAAGGAGCATCATCAGAGTTTGCAAACACTGCAGAAAGCACTGCAGGTGCTCTCTACAGCTTATTTGAAATTCACTGAAAATGGCAACAAGAACAAAGGATGTGACTCAAACACGAGCGGCAGAAGGCAGGGCAGACAAACCTTCCTAGAGCTTGTCCACCAAGAACCAAAGAGGCAGGCAGAGATACTTCATGCAGAAACAGGGCAAGCAAAACGTGTGCATTCTCAAGGAGCGCTGCAGGCCAACTCCTGCCTGTAGTCACAGCGACAAATACCCTGAGACCACAAGTGTCACATGCACTGCTTCCTTCCGCTTTACACGACTGCAGCTCTGCAACAGCACCTGGTCAGCATAAGGCCCTTCATGTGCGTTACTATGCCTGGTTAATGAAGACCCACAATAGGCAGCCCTGGGGGGACATAAAGATCCCCTTTACCTACCATTTTCACTTTTCCTGGGAGGAATTCTGTAAGAGATCCAGCCTCAGGGACACCCTGGCTGGAATCGTGAGAACCTGTCCTTAGCAAAACAGCTCTGAGCGTTAAGTCACTCAGTCGGGTCTGACTCTTTGTGACCCCATGGACTGCAGAGCTCACCAGGCTTCTCTGTCCATGGAATTCTCCAGACAAGGATACTGGAGTGGGTAGCCTTTCCCTCCTCCAGGGGATCTTCCCAACCCAGGGATCGAACCCGGGTCTCCTGCATTGCAGACACTCTTTACTGTCTGGGCCACCAGGGAAGCCCATTACATGTTTCCTGGGAGGAATTCTGTAACAAATCCAGCCTCGGGGACGCAGTAGCTGGAATCATGAGAACCTGTCCTTAGCAAAACAGCCCTGGGCGCCTCTATTCTATATGTCAGCTCCATACAAAATAGAGGCAGGCTGAAGGGAGCCGACCTTTCAAGAGGATGCAGTTCATGTTTATTTTTCCAGAGGACACACTCCTGAGGCATCTGAGGCTCCATCTCCTGAGGAGCAGACGACAGGGACCGCCCTTGAAAGATCCCCTGAGATCAGGCCCCAGGCCTGCATCCAGCCCTCCTCCTGGGGCTGCAAATGTGGACCCAGAATTCCCTTTTAACCCAGAGAGATTTGGGAAGAAGGGAGGAAAATTCCCCCCACTGTGGGGATGTCATTTTACTTGCCAGAAAGCACGAGAGAGTCCCTGCCCCCACGGCCCTACACACCAATGACCCCCCTCCGGGATCCTGGGCGGCGTGGTGCTGACACCTAGGGGTGGATGGAAAAAGAGCCACGCGGGCCTGGTTTTCCCCCAGCTCGCCCCAAATCTGCTTCCCTCTAAGCCCAGAGAAGGTCCCCCCAAACCCACCCGCTGATACCACACATGGAAAAGCAGAAGCCAAGTTTGACTCTTCATAAAAAGCAGCCAGTTCCCCTATCTAGTCTCCCACATCAGCCTGAGAAAAGCAGCTGTCTGGGGAGAGGACGGAGGGAGAGAACACACATCTCCAAAAAGAAGCTCCAAAAGGCTCTGCTCCAGGGACTCAGACCGGGAGGAGCCAGGGATGCCCAGCCTCCCGGAGGCAGCCTGGGCCGCTTTCTTACCAAACTCGCTGGCACAGAGGTGCTCGATTATGGCTTCGGATTTCAGCTCGTTGTCACACGGAGGACACACGGTCGTGCCTAGGAGAGGAAAGGGGAGGACAGGAGCTGAGTGACTGGGGGCGAGGATGCTGGAGGAGCTGCTCCCGGAGCAGACAGAGATCAGCCTCGGGACCAGGCTGGAAGCCGGTTAACAGTCTTCTGGAATTTCTGAAAGGCAATCCCAGAAAAGACGAGTCTTGGAAACCAAGGCAGACATCGAGTTCCTTGAAAATTCAGGGACTAGAGCTACTGCATATGGTACAGCTATTCACAACAACATTATCTGGGGCTGAACGGTGCGGGTCCTATGAATCGTGTCTTGATGTGGTGGGTCCCTGGGAAAAGCTGACTTGTAACCAAACACTTCTAGCCCAATTTTTTGTTTGTTTCCTGTTTTCTCCCCTCCCCTTGAAATACCCGCCTGATTCCTTCCCCACTCCTGTTCCCAAACTCCCCGATCCATCTGACCAGCTCTCCATGAGCCAAGAAACAAAATCAGCCAGACTCACAAAGTCCAACCACAGGCCCTGAACACCCCTGCCCAGAAGGGCTGCTGCAGATAGATCCTGCGGGGCGGGGAGCAGGAGATGGGGGGGCGTCACCAGCCCTGCTGCCAAATGGAAGGACCGAGAGGGACGGGGAGACCCTCTGTTGGCGTTTTCACACCGTGAAGTGCTTTGAAGAGGAGGTGTGTGTGCCGCAGGCATGGGGCACCTGGAGGCGGCTAGGCCCGGCAGGGAGGAGGCTTTGGAAGCCAGGGCCAGCGATTCCTCCTGGCCAAATGCTGCAGATGCTGGAGGGGCCCCTCCCTTGGGAGGTGAAGGGGCTCCGTGGAAGAGCTGGGAGAAAACCACCTAGTGGGAATCGCCAGAAGGTGAGGCGGCTTGTCACCGCCACCGCGACCACCATCCCACCACCCCACCGTCAGCATCGCCTCCATCATCTATCAGACATCTTGGAGTTTTATCCAGGTTGCCGGAAAGCTTGAGCACATCCTAGGGGGCCTTCATCCAGCACCGCACTGGAGCTTGGCGCAAGTCACGAAGGAGGGCAGTGTGTGAGCGACCTCCACTCCCGCCGTTGACTCTTCTTCCTCCCTTCCCCCCCACCTCTGTGGCTCCTACGGCAGCATCTCCTTCGCCCTGGAGCACTTCTGTGGTCCAGAGGAATGGGCAGAGCCTCCCACAGTGGACAGGGAGTCAGCTACAGCATCCTGGGGCCGGAGCCACCGCCCCACCAGGGCCACTGCTGGTCCCCAGCGCCCGGGAGGGGATGCCTGACCACACCCCGCTCCCAGGCAGGGTCCCTGTGAGGCCCAGCAGAGGCCACAGGCTTTCGTCTTTGCTGGCAGACCCCTCTCCCACCTTGATGCTGGGCCCAGGGCCACGCACCATCCAGACTCCTTCGGCAGCAGGAACCACTGCCACGCTCCAAGCAGAAGACGGTGGGACTATCTTTGGACCCGGAGGCTGGAACTGTGCTTCTCAGCCTGAACTTAAGATGGGATTCCAGAGGTCGTGTTTCTGACAAAAGGGAAACGCTTACCCGGAATTGTGCATCCTGGTTCTGGCTTCCAAGGGCAGAAAAATGGAAGGGTAGTCCCACCGTATGGGAAGGACCGATGTACCGACCTGGGGAGTGTGGACTGTGCTGGGGGACCTTCCTTGTTTGGGTTAAAAAAAAATTTAACGGAAGTTATCACCGGGCAAAGTTCAATGAATATAATCTGGCCAAACAAGCGGCAGGGCAGGACTATCCGAACACAAACCCCGGGTGGCCTCGGCTCCCTCAGACCACCAGGTCTGGACACCCTGAGACCCCGACTTGACTGGCAGCCCAGGGCTCTGGACACCACTCGGGCACTGTTCTCAGCCCCATCGCCATGTCTGGCCCTCAGCGTCTCCCATGGGGGCAGGAGGTGGCTGGAGCGAGCTCAGTGTATTTTCCCCAGCCCGCCTCACCTTTTCTCACAGCCAGCTCTGAAGGGCAATATTAATCTGTGGCCTCTGGATTGTGCCGGGGCGGGGCAGCAAGCAGCCTGAGTGCAAAAAATCAAACCCACCCAGTCATCCATCAGAGAGGCAGGACAAAATGGCTGTTTGTAGATGTATTTAAAATGTTTCAAGTGAAAGAAGCAAAAACCAAAAGGTGTTGTGTTTCATCAATATCTAAGGGGAAGAGGAGTGCAACACTGGAATTAGAAACACGTGTTTTTTTTTTTTTAATCAATGCACACGCATGCACACAGTACACACACACACACACACACACACATACACACACAGCAGGTCTTCCCTGGCCAGCTCCTCAATACAGGGAAGGGACCCTAAGGAGGGCCCTAGGGGAGAATGGGGCACCGTGGCCTCTGCAATCTGCGCCTGAAACAGTCAGGCTGATTTAACGCATAACATGCCTAAACAACAACAAAATAAAACTAAAAGTATGTGCTCCTTCACCGAGCTTGAATCAGTAAAACCTGGCAGGGAGGAGAAATAACAGTGTATCAGCCTGGGAGTGCACGGGTCTAATGCAAGTGCAAGATTGAGAAATAACTTTTCTGTAAAAAAAAAAAAAACAAAAAAGTGCTTCTCCCATAACCGATGCTGAAGCAGCTTAAGCCTCAGCTTTTTGGGGGTGCGAGGGAGCCTCCTTTGACTCATCTCATTATCAAGTTTATCTTAAATGATGTGTGGCCCCAAAGGCCTGCCCCAGTACCCTAAACAGTACTTGCCCCCGTATGTGAACAGAAGCCAGCCAGCCGGCATTCGGAGACATGTCACTGCTTTGAAAATCCCATTCTAATTTTACAGAATAAAAAGAAATAAAGAATAAAAATGGGGCACGTGTACCTGGTCGCCTCCAAAAGTATCGGTTCTTATTCTGGGGGCATGAGCCATAGGGATGAGAAGCAGGAGCCTGGTCTCTCCCCCTGACCTGCACGCGCACACACACACATCCCTCCCGCTTCCACGCTCAGCTGACAGCAGTGGCCAGGCAGCCCTGGGGGACGCCTTTGGGGGGTTCCTCCCACTGAAGGGGCTGCAGTCCCGGGTAGGAGCAGGGCCTCCCGCAGAACCCGTCACCAAACACACGGTGGGGAGAACCAGGTCCCAAGTTCCACCCCAGACTGGTCCCTTCACGGCTGTGTGGCTGGTCCAGAGGAGCTACCTGACCACTCCTGGGATGGAGGGAGGAGGGCAGATGGAGCCAAGGGCAGGCTTGGGGGCACCAAGAGGGGTGGCAGCCAAGGAGTAAATGGCTCCAAGAAGACAGCATGGATTTTGGTTTCCCCTCCCTCAACCGCCCCTGCCTCTGGCGGGGGTAGGGGGGGCGGGGGGGGGTTCAAGCCGAAAGGATTCTTGTCCGTGCATAAGGAGGCACCCCAGCCAGTGCCCCCACCTGCCAGTCCCCCTCGGAAGCTTCCTGTCGCCGCTTGTACCAACAGGGGCAGTTGGGGGTGGGCTCTGCCCCAGCAGAGCTGGCTGCGGTCTCTGGGGGTAGGGCTGGGCTTCTGTCCCAGAGGGAAGAAGGAAAATCCCGTGGGTTCTATCCGGACAGAACAGCACGGGCTTAGTCTGCTCCAGGTACCGGCAGCATCTCCCCAAAGGTGAATCCTGTGCGGGCCTCCAGGAAGGGCGAGCATGGGGCCCAGACCTTGGGCTGTTGCCCTGTCTACCCATCAGGCCCAACTCCACACCACCCACTCTGGACCTATTTCCTCCCTCCCTGAAATAAGCAAAGGCATTCAAATTTCAGGGTGCCCTTCCCCAGACTACCCAACCCTCACTCTGGGGAGCCTGCCCCACAGGAGACATTCCTCCTCCGGCATCACTTGGAGATAAGCTGAGCCAGCAAGCAACAGGTTTTTCCACCCGCCCTCCCCACCCCCACACACCTCAAGCCCTGTCCTCCAAAAGCCCTGGAGACAACGGCCCGGTGCCCAGGGCACCCAGCTCCCCACCTCTGATCACTGGCAGCTCTTTGAGCCTCAACTCGGCTTCCAAAGAAGTGGGTGGTTGAATTCATTCCTCTCAAAGTCAGGCGATGGTGCTGGGGTGTTGGTTTGTTGGGGATTTTCTTTTTCTTTTTTTTTTTTTTTGGCTTGTTAACTTGTTTTGCTCTGTCTTGTGGCCTGGGGGTGGGAGGTGGCGGGGTGATGTGCCTCCTCCCCCGTCAAGAGCTGCCCTTTAAGCGGGAGGGGTTCCGAGAACACCCGCCTGCCCATCCCCGGGGCTGTTAGGAAAGTCTTCAATTTGCGGTCCGCTCCCCAAGGAGAGCGGAACAATGAGCTAATGACAATTTTATCTTTCTAATTACCTGAGGATTTGTGTGAATGAGAGAAGCAGGGGGTATGCAAGAATGGTGCAGAAGAGTCTTTCCATCCACCCCCCCCCCACCAAGTCTCCCGAAGCTGTTACCTGAAAGGAGGAAACAGAAAGGCTTGCAGTTTCTAAACTTTTTTTTCTCAGCTCGTTTTGCACCAGTCCGGGAGCTACTTGGCTGAATGACTAGCTAAGAAAAGCGATTAAAAAAAAAAAAAATCCTCCTCGAACCTAAGAATATAAACAAAGCTGCACCTTAGCATTTGCTCGGCCTTCCTGAGCTTCCCAGACTTAGAGTTTGGGTTGTGTTTCCCGCCCCCAGCCCCGGGGGCATCTCGTCTGGGGGGTTCAAAGCTCCGATGGGGACTCGGTTCCCTCCCAGGGGAGAAAAGCTCTCTCCTGGGACCCGGAGCTAAAGCTTTGTTTCCTGGAAACTGGATTCCCAGGGCAGCGGCTCCACGACCCGGAGCGGGTGCGCGCGCGGGGCTGCCCCGCCGGGCACCACCTCGGACTTCTCGAGGCCGTCGGGTAGGGCCACGTCCCCAGGCCCGGGGCGCAGCCCGGGGGACCCCCGCCTCACCTTGGGGCTTGGAGGCCTCGGTGGCGTTGGGCGGGGTCATGGCGATGCAGACGTCGCCTTCGGGGAACTTGTCGCACTTGAGCATCTCGGGCCAGTAGAAGCCGAAGAACTGCATGACCGGCTCGCAGGAGTCGCGCACGGCCTCGCAGAGCCAGCGGCACGGGTAGATGGGCCGGTCCAGGCAGACGGGCGCGAAGAGCGAGCACAGGAAGACCTGGGTGCCGATGTGGCAGTTCTTGTTGAGAAGGGGCACCCAGCTGCTGGCCTGCTGCTTCACCTCGGCCATGGTCTCGTGCTCCAGCAGGTTGGGCAGCACCATCCTCTTGTAGCCCACGTTGTGGCACAGCCGCAGGTCGGCCGGGATGTCCACGCACTGCGGCGGCTTGGTGTAGAAGCGCCCGCTCTGGTAGGCGCCGATGTCCGACTGGAAGCTCACGTAGTCGTACTCGCTGGCCGAGCCCGCGGCCAGGAGCCCGGCGGCCAGCGCCAGCAGCGCGCCCGCCGTGCCGCGCCGGCCAATCAGCGCCGGCCGCCGGGAGCGCTCCTGGCCCGCCCGTCAGTCACCCCCGCCGCCGGCCAATCGGCTCGCGGGCGGGAGGGCTCGGCTCCCCAGAACTCAGCGCAGGTCAACACCCCTTAAAAAACAAAACCAAAAATAAATAAATAAAAGAAGGAAGAAGGGGGGAAAACGAGGAAAAGACAAAAAAAGAAAGAAAGAAAGAAAAAAGGAAGGGAGAGGGGGGATGGAGAGAAGCGTGCGGTGGGTAAAAAGGATGCGCAACGCTGCAGCTAGCTTGGGTCAGATCTCAGGAAAGCAAGGACGCTTAACAGTACTCGCAAGTCCATGAGATAATCAAGACTTTTTTCTTCTTTTTGACACTTTTCGCTAACTTAACGCAGCAGCAGACTGCTTTCTCGGTGTTGTTTTCTGTGGCTGCAGTAGGAAAGTGGCCGTTGCCGGCGGACCCGGGCTCAGGAAGGCTGTAGCGAGGGAAGTCTGCCTTTCCATCCCGGGCCGGTGGAGCTCGGCTCCCGCGAAGACCCGGGGGAAGGTGGAGTCCGGCTGTTTGCTGGCTATAAAAGGCAGCCGCGTTTCCAGGTGGGACAACCGGATGATGGCACTCCGACAGTCCCGAGGCAGTGTGGAAGGGAAAGGTGCGCACAAAGGTGTTGATTTGGGGAGGACAATTGTGGGTTTTTTGTTGCTGTTTTTTAAAGGAAAAGAAGAAGGGGAAAAAGAGCCCTGCTCAAGGCCCAGCCCGACAGCACGTCTGTGTGTGCACGCATATGCACATTGACATGTTTGTGGTCTAGAAAGCCAAAACATTAAAAACACATGTGCACTTATCAGCGTGGCTTGTGTAAATATCAAGTCCATCACTCAGGCACACATGCTACATTCAGAGCCAGCCCAGGAACCTCAAGTCAAAAACCAAGGGTTCCTGTTCAGACAGAAAGCGAGAAAGAAGTCCCAGCAGAAACAGCCCATTCTTTCCATCCAGCCCACCCCCGACCCCCACCATCACCCTGGAACAGAGGGTGGTCCCCCTGCCACCCTCCACCTCAGAGTCCCTGGGGATCCTTTGTAATGAGGCCCAAGCTCCAGAAAGCTGGGAGTGTGACCACAACCAACCCCAGGGACAGGCAAGAGCAACAGCTGACCCTGAGGTTGGCTGGGTCTCCACACTGCTTGTGTCCCAAAATGTGGGGTGCAGAGGAGGCTCAGAGAAAGCTGCAGATCGCATCTGAGTGGTGTGGCACCACCCCAGGTGGCAAATGGGCCACAGAGCCTGAGCTGAAGGCAGACACCAGAGGAGGCACTGCCTTGCTGTGGGAAGCTGACTTTGGACCCTGCAGACCAAATTTCTTGATGGACAGATTCCAAGTCAAACGACTCGAGTTTTTCGATGAAGAGAGGCTGTTAAAGCAGTCCTGCGCCTAAAGACATAGTGATGCCACTGTGCACCCAGGGAGCGTGTGACGGTGGCCAACTTCTCCATCATTTCTAAGCTGATGAAAGGTGCTCTAAAGCAAGAGGGGCAATGTGGAGGAAAAGAGATGGGGGGAGAGGGAGACTCCCTCGGGTGGCAAAGGGTTAATCCCTGAACAATTGGTAATGCTCAGCCCAGAAGCTGGGGAAGACATTCCTCACAGGCAGAGAAAAGACCGCAGGAAACCAGGCAACTGTGTCTCAATTCAAGGGGCAGTTAGAGAAAAATGCAGTTTGGTAGGGGTCCTTTTCTCTCCCCGAGGCAGGCCCTCAGTCCCAAGGCAAATGTGTCTGTTTACTCACTCCCTGCAAAGAGTTGTGTTAGCAGATAACATCCTGTCACCTCTGGATGCAGGCTTCGCCCAGCCCTCACTCATGTCTGTTCTGTTTCCCCAAATGGTGGAAGGACCCGTATGTCTGTCCCATATGAAAATTCGGGAAATGAGTTCATGGGACTGCCCCTCCATCAGTCCTTGGGGGTCTCAAGGCAGGAGTAAATGTCACAGTTCCATTCTTGGGAGGGCCTAGCCTAGGTCTGGTTGTTTCTGACTGATCACCCCCAAACAGTCTGAGCTAGAGGCCTCTTGGGGCACCCAGGGACATGACTGTCTCAAGAAATAACAGGGAGTATGAGTGCAACTAAGACCCCAGAATCTTAAACTCAGTGCATTTCTGGCTCCTCCCAAGGCCCAGCTAGAAAGGCAGGGTTCAAGTCTCAGTCCACTGGCAGTCTTTAACCCACACCAAGGCTAGGGACTTCCCTGGTGCCTCAGACGGTAAAGCGTCTGCCTACAATGTAGAAGACCTGGGTTCGATCCCTGGGTCGGGAAGATCCCCTGGAGAAGGAAATGGCAACCCACTCCAGTATCCTTGCCTGGAAAATCCCATGGACAGAGGAACCTGGTGGGCTACAGTCCATGGGGTCGCAAAGAGTTGGACACGACTGAGCGACTTCACTTCACTTCACTTCAAGGCTAGGCTTCTACGGTCTGCAATGCTTAGAGTCATTCCACAGACGTCTCTGGTGGCTCAGAATCTGCCTTCAATGTGGGAGACCTGGGTTCCATCTCTGGGTTGGGAAGATCCCCTGGAGAGGGCATGGCAACCCACTCCAGTACTCTGGCCTGGAGAATCCCCATGAAGAGAGGAGCCTGGCGGGCTGCAGTCCACGGGGTTGTAAAGAGTCAGACATGACGGAGCGACCAAGCACTGAACAGGACTCTGGGGGATGACTGCCAGCCCCAGTCAGTTCTCTACTGTAAGACAGCGCCAGGCAGAATAGCCTGACACTCCGTGTTTTAGAGGCGAATGCAGTTGTTGGGGTTTTGCGAGAGGCGGGGGAGGGGGGTTGTCCTTTGTCGTGTTGTCAAAACTTTGCACTTCAAAGCCCAGTCTCCCCTCCGCTAGGCAAGAATTTGTGTGTGTGTGTGTGTGTGTGTGTGTGTGTGTGTAGAGGAGAAAGTTGTAGAACAAAGTTTCTTTAAAAGTGTTATTGACATGACAGAGATCTCAGAAGCCAGGGGTCTCCAGAATGGGATCATGGGCCAGGAGGCACACCTTTCCTTCTTGAATGAACAAAAGCAAAAATATACCTTCCCATTTGTGTTTTTCATTTCAAAAAAGTTCTTATTTTCCCCACCCTGCCAGATGCCTGTACAAGAATATCGGAAGTACATCCGCTGTTGCCTCAAGCCCGCAGCTTAAGGAGGCATTCTTCAGCCTCCCCATCGCCCGATGCTGATGCTCAGGCCAAGCAGGATCGCTGTGGGGCCTCCCAGCACCTATGCCCAGAGCTCCTCCCTGCCCTTTGCTGGAAAAACAGCAGTTGGGACCTCCCTGGTGGTCCAGTGGTTAAGACTTCCCACTTCAACTCTAGGGGGCATAAGTTCAATCCTGGTCCCTGGTCTAAGATTCTGCCCTATACAGTGCAGCCAGAAATAGAAGAAGAAAAACAAGGAGGTGGGGAAAACTTTCCAGCAGGTTTTGCTCTTTTTTAAAAATATATATATATTTTTAATTTTATGTATTTATTTATTTGGCTGCATCAGGTCTTCGTCATGACATGCAAAAACTTCTAGTTGTGGCACGCAGGCTTAGTTGCCCGGCAGCACGTGGGATCTTAGTTCCCTGACTAGGAATCGAACCTGCATCCCCTGCATCACAAGGCAGATTCTTAACCACACATTCCCCAGAACTACACTCAGCATCCTCTCGGTCAGCCAGGAGTGGGACAGCAGGGCGGAGGGGAGGGTCTCCTGTCTGTGGCTGGGCAGTCATGGGTCTGTGGCCACGTGGAGAAAAGCATCCTGACCCAGAGTCAGGAAACGCAGGGTGTGGCTCCTTGTGGCCGGCTGACTTGTACTTGACTCCCTGGGCTGAATGCTCGTCTGTAAATCAGAGCAGTTAATGCCTGCCCCGCTCCCTCAGGAGCTACCATCTGTGGATTCTCAGCATCCAATGTCACTGAGGTTCACAGTTAGGCTTCTGAGGTCTGCAACGTTTAAAGACGCATTCCACGGACTTCCCTGCTGAGCCAGTGGTTCAGACTCTGAGCTTCCAACGCGGGGGGGCGTGGGGTCCAGTGCACCTGGTCAGGTGACTAAGACCCCACGTGCCTCATGACCAATAAACACACAAATAAAGTGGCATTCCACACAAGACAACATGAAGCCCAGGAATGCTCTCACTTGGATAAGCATCTCTTCCACTCTGCCTCCATGGAGGTACAAAAGCCCTGTGGTTCCCAAGCCCCTCTGACTCAAGAACTGGCCTGGCTTGCTGTCTGGGGCTTGGGACTGTCTGGGAAGAAACATAAACACTTAAAGGCATAGTCCAGTCCCATCTCCTCCCAGGCAAGCACCCCTCTGCATCTTTCTTTTTATTCACTTTTTATTGTCGTAAGGACACGTAACATGAGAGCTGCCCTGCAGATGCATTCTTTTATTTTATTTATTTGGCTATGTGCATGCTCAGTTGCGTCCAGCTCTTTTCGACCCCTTGGACTGTAGCTGCCCCCCCCCCCCAACCCCGCCCCAGGCTCCTCTGTCCATGGAACTTTCCAGGCAAGAATCCTGCAGCGGGTTGCCATTTCCTTCTCCAGGTTATCTTTCCCGCCCAGGGATTGAACTCGTGTCTCCTGCATTGGCAGGTGGATTCTTTACCACTGAGCCACCACTGGGTCCTCACTGTGGCACGCAGGATCTTCGATCTTTGTTGTGGGTTGAAAACTCTCAGTTGCAGGATGCAGAATCTAGCTCCCTGACCAGGGATGGAACCAGAGCCCCCTGCATTGGGAGCTCAGAGTCTTAGCCACTTGAACCACCAGGGGAGTCCCTCCAAATGCCTTCTTAAGTATCCAGGACAGGACTGGTGAACCTCTGGACCACACTTGATGTGGGCTGGCTGAGCCCCAAGCTGCTATCACTGGCTCCTGTTGCTTCTTGGGGACACAACCACAAGACTCAGGCAACTTCAGTAGAATGTTCTCCCTTTCCTGAAGGGAAACTGTGCTCCCTGTAATTTCTGCTCCCCAGGCCATGCTAGTCTGGCAGCAGTGGGCCTGCCCTGAACCTCAAGTTCACAGTCATACACTCCCGCCCCACTGCTCAGACAGACCCACCCTCTCACTCTCCAGATGAGTCTTTGTCAAACTGGGCTTGGCCCTTTGTATTCACTTAACTACCTTAATTATAAATATATACATTGTAGAATTTCTATACTGTCTTCCAGAAAAGAGGGGATTAAGACTCATATTTTTTAAGTTCAAAAATTAATCTATTTAATTTACTGCATTAATAGGATAAATGAGATGATCATAGGATCATCCAGATAAATGAAGGAAGAAAAACTAACAAAATTCAGAATAATTCACAATTTACCAAAAAAAAAAAAACTGAATGCACAGTATATGAATTCTTCTCTGCATATATAGTTCAATAAAAAGTTATATACATACAACAATCTAAGGCATCCTAAATGACTCAAGAACTCTAAGAGTTCTTCCAAAGTTCCAAGTATGAGTCTCTAGTGAATACACATATTTTTAACTTAACATTAAAAAATCTCTAATGGCTTGTTTCTCTGATTAAAACCCCCACAGACTGTTTGACTATCCACAGGAAAAAGCCCAGACTTCGGTAGGAATCAAGACCTTGTCCTCCAACGTCCTTCCAGTACCCCACCCCCACCCTCCAGATCATGCATGTCGTATTGTCA